CAAGGAGTCGTCATGGTGGGTCAGGAGGGGCAGTGGGAGCTTGGATTGGGATGGTAGTCATGAAAATGGAAAGAAACTAGATAACTGGATGTGTTTTAAAGCAGTGTTTCTCAAACTTTAGTGTGTGTACAGTCACCTGGAGGGCATGTTAAGACATTATCTGGCCCAACCCCTGATTCTGTAGGTCTGCAAGGTCTCAGGTGGTGCTGATGCTGTTGGTCTGAGGACCACACTTTGGGATGCATGTTTTAGAGCAAGCATAAACAGAACTATAGAAAGCATTGGAGCAGAAATGAGGAGAAGAAAGAGAAGTCGAAGTTACAGATGTTGGGCCTGAGCAACTAGTTGTGCGGAGACGCTAGATCCTAGGGGAGAAGCAGGAGTACGTGTTGGTTGGGGCTGGGGGATGCTGGAATCAAGAATTCTGTCCCAAAAAGTTCAGTTCAGGGTATCTTTCAAACATTCCTGTAGAGGTGGGAGGTGGCAGCAGGATATACAAGTATGGAGTTCTGGAGTGAGATCAGAGCTGGAGCTACCACCTTGGAAGTTGTTGGCGTGCTGACGTTGCTTAGAGCTGTGAGACTGACAAGGTCAGCTGGGGAGATGGTGTAGCCAGAGAAGGGATCAGGCTGAGGCCAGCCCTGGGGCTCGCAGACCTTCACAGAGAGTGAACAGAAGAGGAAGAAGAGCAAGCAGAGGGCCTGGGAGATGTGTCCAGTGGAAGGAGGAAGGACGGGAGAGTCAGAGGCCAGTGTTTCAAAATAGGAGTGCTGCTGAGAGGTGAGGTTAAGAAGAACCCAGCATTCCAGAGAAGTGGCCATTGGATTTGTCAACATTGTGGTCCTCAGTGATTTCTGATTAGGCAAGAAAACAAAAGAAATGACCAAAGAAGTTGAGTGTAGCAGAGTTTGATGATAGGCTACGAGTTCTAGTGGGGAGGAGGGGCCATGGGTCAGGTTGGTGGATATTGGAATAATATAGGCACGAGGGCCTAGGTGCCACTGGGTAACTTCTGGTAATGAATGAGGTAGACTAGGATGTGCCTCCTGGTAATCCCTTGAGGGAAAGTGAATATTCAGGTGACTCTGGATGTTTGGGACTACTTGGCAGTTCTTTGCTGTGTCTGTGTGGTGGGGCTGCTGTGGAGTAAGAAAGGCCCCTCAGGGAACTGTTTTTATGTGAAGCACAAAGCTCTGTGAGGGTCTTTCTTTCCTGCGGCAGTGGGTGGTGGTCTGGTGCTGGGGAAGTATTAAGAGATTTAACAGTGATGAGGAACCTCCAGGACCCCCAGCCCCCTTCAGCCACTTAGTTTCCCTCCCTAGAAGTAGACCACTGTTCCTTGGATACCTCTTCAAAGGCACATACAAGGATACAGCCTTTTTTAAAAATTAAAATGGTGCTATATTATACACATTGTTTTACACCTTGCTTTTTTCATTTTGTAACCTTGGAGGTTGTTCCATATTAGTATTTGTAGAGCTGCCTCATTTTTTTCAAAAGTTACAGAATATTCCATTTTATAAGTGTCCATAAGGCTTTAACCCGTCCTCTACTGATGGACATTTTCCCAATCTTTAGGCTTTATAAACAGTGCTATAATATCCGTATACCTATGTCACTTGAGACATCTGGAATATGTCTGTAGGATAAATTTCTAGAAGTGGAATAGTTTGCTAAAGCAGTGGTCCCCAACGACCAGCCAGCGACTGGTTTCATGGAAGACAATTTTTGCATGAACCAGGTGTTGTGGGGTGGAGCTCAGGCGGTGATGCGAGTGATGGGGAGTGGCTCTAAGTACAGATGAAGAGATGAAGCTTTACTTGCTCGCCCACCACTCACCTCCTGCTGTGCAGCCCGGTTCCTGACAGGCCAGGAACTGGTACCTGTCCATGGCCTGGGGGTTGGGGACCACAGTGTTAAAGGATACATAAACTTTAAAATTTTAGTAGATGTTGCTAAATTTTTTTTTTTTTTTTTGAGACAGAGTCTCACTGTGTTGCCTGGGCTAGAGTGAGTGCCGTGACATCAGCCTAGCTCACAGCAACCTCAAACTCCTGGGCTCAAGTGATCCTCCTGCCTCAGCTTTTTTTTTTTTTTTTTTTTTTTTGAGACAGAGTCTCACCCTCTTGCCTGGGGCGAGTGCCGTGGCATCAGCCTAGCTCACAGCAACCTCAAACTCCCGGGCTCAAGCAATCCCACTGTCTCAGCCTCCCGAGTAGCTGGGACCACAGGCATGTGCCACCATGCCCAGCTAATTTTTTCTACATATATTTTTAGCTGTCCAATTAATTTCTTTCCATTTTTTGGTAGAGACGGGGTCTCGCTCTTGCTCAGGCTGGTTTCGAACTCCTGAGCTCAGAACGATCCGCCCACCTCGGCCTCCTAGAGTGCTAGGATTACAGGCGTGAGCCACCGCGCCCGGCCTGATGTTGCTAAATTTTTACCAGTTCATATTCCCATGCCTGATACATGAGAGTGCATATTTCTTTACATACTTATCGATACCATGTTAACCAACTTTTTGATTTTTGCCCACCTGACAGTGAAATATATCTCATTGCAGTCTATCAGCACATCACTTCCTAGGTTAAAGAACTATTGTTTTTCCTTTTCTCTGAACTGTTCTGTCATGTTCTTTGCCCAGTTTCCCATTTGATTTATCCATTAAGGAAATGAGCCTCTCTATGATGTCTGGCAAATATTTTTTTCCTGGTTTGTCCTTTGTAGATTAATTCAAGTACAGTCAACAGTTTTCTTAAAGACCTTGAGCTGTACTGTTTGGGGACATGGAGAGCCAGTTCTTTGGGTGAGCTTCTCTCCTTTGGAAGCAGATACTTCACTTCCTGACGTCGACAGGATGGTGATCTTGCTGTGGGTCAGAGAAGGCTCAAGGCTGATTTGTTCTGTGTGCAGTTGAGCTAAAGGAAGCCATGAACTGTCATGTTCCACACTAACATGTCTCTGGACAGTGTAGATGGGTCCCTGTCATCAAGAAGCTTCCAGTTGGCCGAGCGCGGTGGCTCACGCCTGTAATCCTAGCTCTCTGGGAGGTCAAGGTGGGCGGATTGTTTGAGCTCAGGAGTTCGAAACCAGCCTGAGCAAGAGCGAGACCCCGTCTCTACTAAAATTAGAAAGAAATTAATTGGACAACTAAAAATATATAGAAAAAAATAAAAATTAGCCGGGCATGGTGGCACATGCCTGTAGTCCCAGCTACTCGGGAGGCTGAGGCAGGAGGATCGCTTGAGCCCAGGAGTTTGAGGTTGCTGTGAGCTAGGCTGATGCCACGGCACTCTAGCCCGGGCAACACAGTGAGACTCTGTCTCAAAAAAAAAAAAAAAAAAAAGCTTCCAGTCTTTTGTGGGACATAGGACATATCCTCATAATCCTGAGAGCCCTACCAAAGAACTCCCCCGATAAAGTTAAGATTTATTTTTTAAGTGACATAAAAAATAATCCCTTTGTAAAAAGAGAACATCTGTCTCTTTTCACCTAGGGAGCTGAGAATATAACCACTTACACGTTCAATACGCACAAAGCCCAGCACACCTTCTGCAAGAGATGTGGTGTTCAAAGCTTCTATACTCCCCGCTCAAACCCTGGAGGCTTTGGTGAGTAAAAGGGATGGACTGTGAGCTCTGGGGGACACAGGCCCGTGGTAGTCTGGATTAAAGTTCTGGTGGGACAGGTGGGGTGCCCCCTGCCTGGCTAGGCCCTGTCCCATGCACGTCTTAGGAGAACAGGGCTCTTCAGCAGGGCTCCTTCCAAGTGATAGAACATAAGACTGGCTCTGGCCAAACCTATCTAAATCCCTTAATCTGAATATGGCAAAATCTGATTCCGAGTCTGTCCAGATGGTGGTTCTTACTGGTGCTGCTAGAGCTGTGTGTCAGTGACATTGAAGGGCAGAGAGGACAGGTAGGGAGCTGGGCTTGTGGGGCCAGAGGAGGCAACTTTAATAATGACAGGGGTTAAGGGAGTGAAGGAGGCAAGAATGAGGAACATTTATAATGCCATTAAAAAAATTGTATTTGTTCCACAAGTGAGCCCCACTCAGGTGCTGCTTGGTTCTGGGGGTAAATAAAACTAACCCTTGGACAGTTGTTCAGAGTAATACCACTCTCAGCATGAATTGATGGGGATACTAGAGGTGGAAGATGTTCCTGAGGACTCTTGGTCCCTGTATAAATGCATCCTTCAGAGCTGCAGGGGTGGCGGTGACTGTGACTTGTCTTTTGCCTCATTGGTAGGGGAGGGCATGATGTCCTCACCCCCCCCATTTCTTCAGCAGCTCCTGTTTGTTCCTCATTGGTCCCCTGGGGACCCCTTCCTGCAGGGTTTTGAAAAGTATAAAATCCTGTACAAATGGGAGGCATTTAATTCTTAGGAAGTTACCTATCTAAACACAGAAAAGGCCTGTGAATTTTTCAGGCTACCAGTCAGAAATTGCTCCAGGCTGAGCCTCTCTGCTATTTTGTACTCTCGATTTGGTGTTGAATGGTGTCCAGCCTTGGCTGTCTCTGGTTCAAGGAGTCTAATCCCCACTGGCAGATGAGGAAAGTGAGCCAGAGCCTTCCTGGGCATCGGGCAGCATGCCAGTCTGATCGCTTAAGTCATAAGCTGTAGCATATCACTTGGAAAGCCTTACGTGTAGTGCAGTGGTGCTTACAGGTGGTCCAACAGCCAGTATAGCATCTGTTCTCACCCATACTTGGGCCCCCCTTTCTCTCTGCTGCTTCCCCCTAGGAATTGCCCCCCACTGCCTGGATGAGGGCACCGTGCGGAGTGTTGTCACTGAGGAGTTCAATGGCAACGATTGGGAGAAGGCCATGAAGGAGCACAAGACCATCAAGAACATGTCTAAAGAGTGAGCTTCTCCCTGTCCCTTCCTGAAAAGGAGGAGTGATTGGGGCCAGCAGCTGTGCTGTCCCTGCCACACCTGGGTGTTGCTCTTGGATATGGCCACCCCAGGCTGCTGGCTCCGTTGGCCAGCAGTCACCTTGATCTGTGCAGTTTGCTCTAGCTACCAGTTTCTTTAGGCAGCTCTTTATCTTTCCTTAGCCCAGATTTTGATGTAGGCTAGTTGACATTCTTCCTTCTCTTCCCAACTTTTGTGTGATCTTATAGGGAAAAAAAATAAATATTTTTAACATTAAAGCAGTTACTATGGTTTATCATTTCTTTTGCACTTTGGTTTTGCTTCTAAGGCTAGTTAATTAATAGCAGATATTTATTGAGTGCTATCAAGATGTTTACAAGCAAATTGCGAAGAAGAGATAAGAGAGATGAAGAACAGTGATTAAAAAGAAGATTATGAATTATTACAATCCATGTGAGCTGTGAAGATGATACGAGCTTTAGGAGTTCAGAGGGGAGAGAGGGAGGGCTGGTCAAGGAAGACTTGGGGAGGGTATGATTGGATTTGAATCCACTTTTTTTTTTAAAGGGGAAACAGCTTCTAATTCCTTTTTTAATTGTAAAATACATACAACATAAAATTTACCATCTTAACCATTTTTAAGTGTACACTTCAGTAGTGTTAAGTACATTCACATTGTTGTGCAACCATCATCGCTGTCTCCAGAACTCATCTTGCAAAACTGAAACAATGTTGGGCCTATTTTTAAAAAAGCGATAGTTAAGAAGATAGAGGGGAGAAGTAACTGTGTGAACAGAGATACAGGTGCATGCAAAAGCCAGGCTGAATTAGAGGCTTGGATTTGAAGAAGTAATGAAGAGATGTGAAAGGTATGTGGAGGCTGGGCTGGTCTTGGATAGTAGTCTTAGGACTTTGGCCTTTACTTTATAGGGAAAGTATTGGGAAGCCTTGGTCAGGATGCATGTTAGCCTGTTAGTCTTTTTTTTTTTTTTTTGAGACAGAGTCTCACTCTTTTTGCTAAGGCTAGAGTGCCGTGACGTCAACCTAGCTCACAGCATCCTCAAACTCCTGGGCTTTAGCAGTCCTGCTGCCTCAGCCTCCCGAGTAGCTGGGACTACAAGCATGCACCACCATGCCCAGCTAATTTTTTCTATATATATTTTCAGTTGTCCAGCTAATTTCTATTTTTTTTTTAGTAGAGACAGGGTTTCGCTCTTGCTCAGGCTGGTTTTGAACTCCTGAGCTCCAAAAATCCATCCACCTTGGCCTCCCAGAGTGCTAGGATTACAGGCATGAGCCACCATGCCCGGCCAGCCTATTAGTCTTTAGATGTGTTCCCCTGTCTCCCTCTCTCCTTACTTCACCTTGCTGCATATCACTATCAGATTAACTTTCCTAAAACATTCCTTTCATTACCAAATACTGTGTATTTGTCACACATGATGGTCAATACTTAGTAAATATTTGCTCTTTGCTTTAGGAAGATTAATCATGAAATGATTTGAAAGGTAGACTAGACAAGGAAAAAGAGCAGAGAGGAAATAAAGATGGCCAGTTCCTTGGTTTACTGGTTCTGCATGGTCACTGTCTCTTCTGGGTCACCAACAGCCATGTTCACACTATAAAGTTGGGAGGAGCTGGGCAACCCACAGGACCTGAGTTTTCAGGGCCAGAACTTTTTTTATTTTATTTTGAAATTATACACGTAAAACACGAATATATCCTCATAAGGTGAATGTCCCCTCTGGTCTGCCATTTCTATTGTAATATTATATAAAAATACATGGTTTTGTGTATCTTAAAAGCAAAGAGCATGATACTGTACTTTGTTCTGCAATTTGCATTTTTTATTTAATAACGTCTTGATCTTTTCATATCAATATGTATGTTCTCATTATTAACTGTTACATAGAATTGCATAGCATGAGTATAGTTTTTCTAACCACTATTTTTTTCGTGGAAATATGGTTCTTTCCAGTTTTTTGCTATTATAATGAACATCCTTTTAAATATCTTATTTATTTGTTTTTTTTGAAATGGGGTCTTGCTGTTGCCCAGGCTAGTCTCGAACTCCTGGGCTCAGAATGTCCTCCTGCCTCAGCCTCCCAAGTACCTGGCATTACAGGTGCGTCACTCTGCCTGTCTCCATACCACTTTATACATAGCGTATGTTATTTAAGAATGTAGAAGTGGGGCTGGGCGCGATGGCTCATGCTTCTAATCCTCACACTTGTAATCCCAGCACTCTGCAAGGTTGAGGTGGGAGGATTGCTTGAGCCCAGCTGTTTGAGACCAGCCTGAGCAAGAGCGAGACCCTGTCTCTACTAAAAATAGAAAAAATTAGCCAGGCATGATGGCACATGCCTGTAGTCCTAGGTACTTGGGAGGATGAGGCAGGAGGATTACTTGAGCCCAGGAGTTTGAGGCTGCAGTGAGCTGTGATGACACCACTGCTCTCTAGTTGGGTTGACAGAGCAAGACTCTGTCTCAAAAAAAAAAATGTAGTAAGTGGAATTGCTGGGTTGAAGGATATTCATCTTTTAAATATTAAAAAGCTGCTAAATTGCCCTCAGAAAGTGTACGCTAGCCTAAAGTGGCAATCAATCCTGTATATAGCACAGTACCCTCAATTACACTTGGTATTATCAGTCTTTTTCAGTTTTTTCCCTTTTTGTTTCCTCCACTTCAGTAAGCTAGTCTAGTTATCTGATGTCTTTTTGTGACCAATCTGTTGGGCAAAAAAGTTGGATTTTTAAAATTTCTGTTATTGCCAGATGAGGGTGGCTTGAGCCTGTAGTCCCAGCACTCAAAAGCCTGAGGCAGGAGGATCACTTGAGCCCAGGATTCAAGGCTGCAGTGAGCTATGATCGTGCCACTGCACTCCAGCCTGGGTGACACAACGAGACCCCGTCTCTAAAAGAATAAATAAAATTTCCATTATTCTGATCACCTGTGAGATTGAGGACCTTTTCATGTTTTTTGGTCATTTTTATTTCTTGTTGGTTGCTTGATCATGTCCTTTGCCCATTTTTCTTTGGGCTGTTTGCAAAAATTAGCAAATAAGCGTAGTAGTTAATACATTTTTGGAGTTCTCTATCATGTTGAGGATGTTAATCCTTTGTCATATATTTTGCAAATACCCCTTTCAATCTGTAGCTTGTTCTTTGTTCATAGGGTTTTGATTTTTCCCCCCATTTTTTTTTTTTTTTTTTTTTT